AGTTTCTCTCAGGTGGTGTCACGCGTATATAAACTTATAAGGTCGAGTGGTTACGCTGACATTCCTCCCACACCTTGTCCGTTGAACGATGAAACTGAGGAAAGTGGGAGTTGCGGTCGCCATTGACGCCGCGCACACCTATCCGCGGATTTCTTCCCCGTGTGAACACCTTAAAAGACAACTCCTCCTCCTTTAATGTTAGCAGCACCACTGAGCAAACCAAGTAACTAATGATACAGTGGACATGAGATGATGCACTTTTTTGACGCCTGCGAACATTATTTTGGTTAACCACTAAAACGAACTAATTTCTGTCTTACGTGAAAGATTTCTTCAAAATCCAGAGGTGTAGCACTCGGGAGGTTTTACTCAGTTACCTGGATGTTAGTGGTATTTGAGTGCAACTTAGCAATGGACTGACGCGAGTTTTACATATGCACATTGAGCTCAGTGAACGTGACACTGGTAGGCAATATTTCCGAGCTTTAGGAACTCCGCTACCTGTTTCTGGAAGTATCAATCGTGCCGGAATATATTGTGCATCGCGCACAAACGACCGAGGTACTTTCTTACTACCAAGTGTCCCAGCTTCAAATGGACGTTCAGTGGAGTTCATAGTTCAACTTTAGCTTGAGAAGCACGGTACGGCTTTCTCGGAAACGTCCAGTAGTTTTTTCTCACTTCTACATTTTATTACTCCTGATAAAGCTACGGACTCTAGGAAGTTTAGTACGCACTTATTTGGAAGCGTTAATATCTCGCTGTTTTGTCCATGGTGTAAACTTGAGTTCCACGAGCTCATCACCTAGCAAACCAAATTTTTCTGCGTTTTACTTAGCACGAAGTACTTCTTAGAGGAAATGGTTTTGAGAGAAAAAAAAAAGATATTTCTCACTTCCAAAACGTGTAAACTAGCCAATAACAAATCTTAAATGCACCTGCAAGCACCTTATTTTCCTACATACACTAGGAAATGAGCAACGCTGCGCACTCGACCAGCTCTTGTAACCATGGCCATTGAGGTGAAACATCATCGAGCTGTCGTTTGGCGGCAGGTGGCGCCAAATGTGGCTGATGTGTAGCGCCCAGCCTGGTGATGTCAGCAGATTTTCAAGAGAGAGAGAGAGAGAAAATAATTGACCGAAAACAACAGTAGTAAAACAAATAAATGTATACTTGTCCATGGTTGGATGCCAGGTGCAAGGTCTCGCTTGGCTGCATACGCAGAACTGGTAATGAATGTGCTGTCGCATGAGGTCGTCGTCCGCCTGGCCTGTAGAACAAAGCGACCTTGTTGCGTGAAACCACCGAATTCTCTGGACGCCCTGACACTTCGCTGGCAGTTCGGTAACGTAGAAAAACTTTTATAGCTTGTTTTCTTTACCTCATGTTTCTAACGTCAGCCTGAATTGGTGACGCTGGCTGTGGTACGGGGCATGCTGTGCAATTTTGCTTTTTATGGCAATAGTGATTACTGACGATGTTGAGCAGTGCCTTCCGTGTGTGCTTCATTTATGCACATCGTGGCCTGCTAAATTTAAAGAGACAATTTCTTCGCGGGGGAAATTTTTTTGCTACATTTAGCAGAGCAGATTTTGCCCTAAATGTAGCTAAAATTTGGTGTTACCTGACGTCATGGTACCACGTGACGTCATGCCATGCCGTCACGTGATGTCACGGACACTCACAAACACCGTTTGATGCTTTGACGGACTAGCGATACACTAGTCCATCAAATTTAAACATTGCAGTGTGTATACAGGTATTCTCGTTATTTGTCGACCTTGCTCTGCACGGTATAATGGAGCGATTCGCTCCCCCATGCGGTTTGCGGGAAAGTAAGATGTTCCACACCTGGATTCCGAGAGTTTTGGCGCTCGCAACCAAACCAAACTAAACCAAAAATCCAATGAAAAAGCCGCGAATCTGCGGAACTTAAGATCAGCGCGAAATGTGTTACCCGCCTATCGCCGCAACTTACGACCTTTGGCAAGAAAAGAGTTGATCGAAATTTGAAGATCCATCTCCTCAAACCGCGAAGTGTGTGGAACAATGTCCGTGCACGCAATTGATGTGCAAAAAACTGTTCTCGTGCATGATGAAAAACATATTTCTATAATGCCTGTCCCGCCGGCCCCAACAGTATTCGCAGAGGACAAACATAGAACCGCACTAAATGCTTTATTTTGAGGAATCATCTAGAGAAACAGGCTGAAAACCGGAGCAGCGGATGAAAGACACGAACCAACAGAGATAGACTTACCTGTCTCTATTCGAATGATGAAAACAACAAATATACAAGCTTTATGCTGCGGGCTCACAGAGCGTTCTTTGAAGCGATTTTGTTTAAGTTTCTGGTTTGGTTAATGCGGAGATCTAGAAAACTGACTCCGTTCGTGCTTTTTTTTTTGTGATTTTTTTTTTTTTTTTGCCGGGCAGGCGAGCATTTGGGCAGGCCGGAACAGCGTACGCGAGAAATCGTCGCGAATCGTACAAGCGCCACCTACGCCTCGCGCTTAGATTTCCATCCGAGCACCCTTTTGCTTTCTGAAGCCGCCATGTTGTCTTCTGGAATAGTGCAAAACACTTCAAGGGGATATCTCCATAACTTAAACAATTTAAGAAACGCTGGCGATTTTGTGCTCACACTACTTGATTTGTGATTCGTAGTTTACGCGTCTTATCGGCTGCTGCCGTAACCCCATTGGTCGCTAAGCAAATAGTAAGATACTTTGCACTCGCCATATCTCCTGTATTTCTCATGCTGTGAGTAACTGCAGCCGACAGACGGCGACAACTTTGAATCTTCTTCGTGAATTACCGCCAGTTTCTTGTTCCGGGGTCTAGACCAGAGTGTAAGACAGGCAGGTGGAGAAAGGACCACTGAGACCTGCCACCGCGGCGCGACCGGATTGTGTCCTCCTGGTGGCTTCCGGTACCTCCGCCTCACGATAAATGGCGCGGCGGCATACGGAAAGCGATGGACTGGGGTTTGTATGGAACTCTGCGACAGAACGCACCGTGTCAGCGATATTCTTTATGGGGAAGCCGACACAATCCTCACAAGAAAATGAGATAGAGGAGGGTTAATTCTAGCATAGTTTTATTCCTTTGATTCTGGATATCACGTTCGTTTTCTCCGAAGATGGAACAAAACGCGAGAAAACACGAAAAACCTCCGACCTGTCGTTACGTCTAAAGAGGACCTTTTGGCCGCCGGGTGCGTTGCGCTCGAGTGCCGCGCGTGCAATTGCAAGCCTACCAGGTACATTCGCCCGTAGTGGCCCCAGTCGTGACACTTTTGTCTGCCCTTTAAAAAAAACTGGCTCCAATCGACGTTGTATAGGTGGTTGTACAGCGAAGCAGTAAACGACAGCCACAACGATTTCCCATTGCGACGTCACTTGAAAATTCACACACGTGGCTCTACAAAGAGTGAAACCAAGGACAAGTTAAAAATACTTAACCACATCCTTTTATATCTGAAAGAGTGGTGACGTCACTACAAGATTTCTATGCTGTTGGGTACTTTTCCACTGGGAGTAGCTTACGCAACCGTAATATTGTGTAGGAACGTGCTTCGCATTGTTCGCAGGCGCCGTTGATAACCATTATGCGGCTTGCACTTCACCTGAGGGCTTCGAATGACGTCAACCCCCTTCGAAGCAGCTGCAAACCTAATCTTTACGGGGACGAGTGGGAGAGTGTTCCTACTGTTCACACGTGCCTTATCGTCCATCATGTGGTTTTGATGCTTGTTTTGTGTTTTTCTTTATTGAAACGTATACTCAGCTGTATGCTGTATGCCTGATTTCAAAGGAGATAGGCTGTTTTTCCTTCATTTGTTTGCAGGGAGTTTTTTTTTTCTTTGCTTACAACGCCAACGACACGCAAATTTCCTTGGCTGGTATAGGGATACAGCTCCGCTGTAAAAATAGCAAGACTGCGGCTGCATAGCTTTGAAGGCGGTGAAGACGCGCGAGAGTGGAGATTCCGAAAACTTTTTTTGTAACGTCCCCTCCAAGAAAAACAGTCTTCAGCGGTACTCGCCGGACTGAAACTGACGTTGCTCGCTCGTAAACAGCCGAAACATTCAAGCTAGATCGCCGAACACATCCGTAGACGAGGTGGAGTCGACTCCGTCGACGCATTCACGATACGCCTCAGCTGACTTCTCAGCTAGTCTTCATTTTGTAGCGCTGCGCGCCTCCTTGATTATTTTATGCTGTAATGTAAAACTATGGTAAAAACACAATCTATATGTTAATTAGAAAATCTCTCAATTCAACTTGCGTGATTTTTGCTCGTTTTTCAAAATAAATTGCGAATTTTCGCGTTGCCGGCAAAATAAATTAGGATATATGGTCTTTCCTTCCTTTGCGTCGCACCGTCTATGTGGAGTGCCACAAACCTTCCTGATGTGTGGACAGAATCAAATCACCCAATCGGTTCTCGTTTCCCAACCTGCTTATCTTACACCCTGGTCCAAACCTTCCCTGGCGTGACATGCATATTGTTCAAACAAGTACTCGTTCAACCTGATCGTTACTACATTTCCCCATTTACACATACACTTGGCGTTACATTGTACAGTCATAAGATACGCAAAAAAACACGCGAGCGCGTGTCACTAGGTGCAGGCAAAGCACTGAGTCTTTAGGCAGCGCTGCGGGCTATGTCACATGCGCAGCAATGGCTCTCTAAAGTGTAGACCTAGGGCAGCGGACAGGCGGCACCTCAGTCGGCTGCTAGCTAAAGCCATTTCATGTTTCAAAATTAGCGCAAGGTGCGTCGATGCTCAAGTTACGTGCAACGTACAGCCCTACCCCAGTCTCAGGTTTGCAATCATGTTCAACGTACACCAGCTCTCCTGCACTCATACTATTTTTGCTACTTTACTCCAAGTTGAATGTACAAAAGTTGATCTAAATTACTACTTCCTCTGACGACGAGATATAAACTGCATCTGACGCCAGTCTTCTCTGCAGGTGCCTGCTTTTATTTCCCAAACATCTATATCAAGTGTTCAACTTTGCGTCAGTCGAGCAACTCCATCATGAGAATACTTCTCTGCGTCGTCTACGCGGTTGGTCTTGTTCAGGCGGCCGCAGGTAAGTCTTTGTGGGTCCCGTTGGTATTACTGGCTAATTTGACGTGCGACAAACTACAGCTCAATGGATTCTCCCCCGCGAATAATTCCGTCTCTCACTCTAATGACCCTTAACAAAGTATAAATGTTTATGTGCTAAATTTTATTCGAACAGTGTCACGCTTAAGATTGGTGATAAAGTGTTCCACAGAAGCCTAGAAAGCATAAGACATCCGTTCACGGTATGCAATGCATAAGGCGCCCTTAATCGTAATTAAACATACGATCTCCGCGATGAGGCATAATTACTTCGAACAAGCGAGTTTTACCAAGTGACAGTGAATCGAGCTTTGAGCCGAGTTATTCACAGCCCGACGCCCTCGCTGGGCGCCAAGATAGGAGCCGAAAAAGAGCGCTAATAGCAGGATCAAGATATGACTCGCGCTAGCCTGCTAAAACAGGCGATCGTCAGTGTCCGCAACTGGCTCTCCAATGTCGAAGCGTAGCTTCGCACGTGATTTCAAAACGTCATGGGCAGACCATAACGCGCCATAAGATGGCGGAGTGCTTGCAAGGCGTCATGATTTAGCACAGCCGTTAATGCACCGATTACTGGGTGCGATAAGACTCCTCTCCTCGCGGCGACATCAGTCACCACAAGAGTCTCCTTGCAATCTAAGGGCATTGAGGACTGAAGGCGTCACACGCCTACGCCTCCTCGGATGATGCAAAACCGAATTATTAACGTAAAACATTTCTTGGCTAGGTGTTCAGCATTTCGTGAAGCAGAAAACTGAAGCCTGAGTAAAAAGGTGGCGGCGAGGCTCGTCACTGACTGGTTATGAGGGGGGGGGGGGGGGGGGGGAGGGAGGGGAAGCCATTGTAATAAAAATGCGTTTTTGCTAGCCGGGAATTGAACCCAGAAGTTTGTAGATTATTAAGCGAGTGTAACGACACGGCGATATGTAACGACACATTGCCTCGAGTTGAGGTGCACTTTGTCGGGAAAGCCCTGCCGAGCATCCGCTCTGCGTCTAGCTGCAGATAGAGAACTGACACCATGTAGCACATCTTTGAAACCCGGGTTCGCGCCGGCATCTCCATTCCAGAAATTGCTATCGAGTGTACATGCCGCGCGGTAAGCCAGTCGCTAAACTAACCGCCGAAGAGCGCCGAGAGCGTAGACGCCACAGGATTCACGTGCAACACAATTGCTTTGAAATTCGCTATGCGTTCGTTTTACTATGAGAATGCACTCTAGTTTGCTCGTTTGCATTAAAGGAGCTGTGCAACAATTTCAGGGCATTGCTTAAATAATTGTGGAAGTTGATGCCTGCAACTTCTGCAGTGAACTACAGAAAACAGATTTTGCCTGGATATCCTAGTTTTTAACTTAAAAAAAAATGAAAAAGATTTAGGTTTTTGCCGCTTCTCAACTCGTGCATCGTCTTCCGGGTCGCGTGCACAGTGACGTCACTTGAGTAGGCGCGGAGTTCCGGAAAAGTTCTCACTTTAGAGCCATCAGCGAGCAGCGAGAACTCATCCGCTCGCGACCGCATGACCACCCGTCCTTGCCCGTCCGGCGCTGTCGCCCTCCCCCTCGGCGTCTGGCGGCTGTTTGCGGTTTTGTGGACCTAGGATAGATGGCGCCACTAAAACTCCGTATAATAAAAGTTTTGTCGATGATACCAGGGTTTTGACGCATTTATATATATGTTGGATTGACAAGATTTATAAAAAAGTTACCTTTTATCGAGCAGGTATTCGCACAACTTGCTATCTTTTTTACAACTACCCAAGTGACGTCACGCCGCTTGTTTCTCATGGCCGCCGCTTGTGGCTGCAGGTCGGGAAATATTCCAAGTTTTGCCTCGCTATTACGCGGCGGAATCGCAACATTTCGATGAAAGGAGGTGTGTTTTCTGCCATTTGTGACACAGTGAACAATAACAAAAGCAGAAAAGGCCAATTCTTTCAACGTTAAAATCGTTGCACAGCTCCTTTAAGGGCGCCTCCAGAGCCAAATACTCCCCAAGTGGTTTGGAAATCGTCCCGTCCAAGTGACGCATGCGTATGTCGCTTCGACGCTTTTGCGCTTTCGCGCTGTGACAAGGAAAAAATCTTCCGCCGATCATCCAAAATACAGACGCATGTCTGCTCTGTCTCGACGGGTTTACAGGACGACAGATATCGGCAGCCATCCCTCGCGTATCACAAGGGTAACCCCCGGAGGCTGTGCGCGTCCAGCCGTTTCAACTACGCAAAAGCTGTCGGCGCCAAGGTCACTGAATTTTGTCAGAGTTAGATGTATTCCTATGTAGAGTAGTGTTCTCAGAGCTCGTGGAAACCTGCCCTAAAACATGCTCATCGCACGCTTCACTCCTGAATAAATGTCAACCTGTCTCGCTCGATCTGATATGTCCGGTAATCATATTTGCGTGTTATGTGTGCAATGCATTCAAGGACGCACCCAAACCTCTCCATGATTTAACATAACAAATCCGCACCCATAATGCACGCACGACACATTTTGTGTTCCCCGGGTTTATTATAATCATAGAGACAAGTTTAAATTATTTTATGAAAGGAAGAATTTGACCCCATATAACCTGAGGCGGCGGGGCTATATTTGTGACCAGGTATTAGAGATATTCAAACCGGCCTGCTAGAAAAAATGCAAGACGTTTACAAATTCCTGTAACGCGAAATTAGAGTACATCTCTTGAGGAGGAGGAGGGAAGGGTAAGCCCCTCGCTTTCCCCTCCTCCCGTCTTCCTCCTTTCCTCCTCTCCCCTCTTCTCCTCCCATAGCAAAAAGAGACCGTACTTCAAAAGAAGTTGAAATATATTGAATACGAATATACATTTTGTATTTATTCTGTATAGGCTCCTTGCACTGACGTCACATCGCATACTTTTGCACACCAAGTAAAAGGAGGAGAGGGAAGCTGCTTTTGTAAGAATTTTGAGTGACAGGTTAATCTTCTATAATCTTCCGGGAGGAGAATAGCGACGCCTGTGCTAATCCGGGAGGCGCAAAGCAGGGTCCTGATAAGAGGGAAGCTCCTTCTTCCCCTCTTCTCTGGAGGGTATCGGAAATGACGTCATGTGCAAGGAGCCTATTATTTTGGCCGCATTCGAAATACGCGCGTAAGGTACTCAAAATACATTAGAAATATGAATCAAAAAATATTTTAGATATACCAAAAATATTATCCCTGCACATTCAAGATGCCATTTGTGCATTCATACCAGTTACACAATATTTTTTTTATTTTCGATTTTGTCAGCAAATGGTGTCCCTGTGGTATTTGAAGGCACTACTAAATACATCTCACAAAGCTACATTAGAAACGAGTAAACACAAACACCATGACGCACTGAGCAGCTCATTCACAGACCCGTTGACTGCTCTAGAGCCTTATATAGCCTACATATTGAAGGTAATAATTTTTTCGGTGACCACCTCTGCGCTTATTAAGGTCCCAAGTATTCGATCCTCTCCTCGGGAGTCTGTCAAAGGGGAAACAGTGTTTTGAAGTTCGTGGACGATATCTCTTACTAAAAAGCATTGGTAGAACTAATAACAATTCGGCGCAGTCCCTAAAACAATATCTACACAAACGGCTCATAAAATACGTGTTATTGCTTCTCTGCGTAGCACCACTCAGGGCGAAGCGAATCAAGGCAGTTTCTTCACTTTAAAATACTGTAAACGACTTTATTTTCGTAAGGACCTAATTCTCGCAATGTTCGCGAATCGCCTACAATTCCGAAAAATAGGTCCCTTGAACAATTCCGGCAAAATGTAAAAACGTTAAAATCTATATTGCGATCCCAGCGCGTCGCGAAAATTAAAATTTGCGAATTATTCCAAAACTCTAACTTTGACCTAAATCGCGAAATATTGAGCCCGCGAAAAATAAATATTTTTACAGTAGTTATTTTGCTTTTCCTTTTTAGTAGTTGACTATTTAATATGGTTGTTAATGCCACTATATTATAGTCACTACTCACATCACGTACAATGGTGAGTATACACGTTCAGTGAACTAACATTGTGCTAACAAAACCACGCTAAACGTATCTGTTCACAGCACCTGCTGAAGCGTTCCAGCATCAGCAAATGTTGTGGTTGTAGTTCCCAAACCCCGTTTGTGATTGGTGTGCAAGGAACTGATCAGGTGTGTTCTTGATAGAAAAAAGGAAACAACAACATAAACTGGGCTGATTTATCAGTGCGATGCTGCACAATTCAATTGACAAACTAATCAAATGTTGTATTTAGGCGCTTCAGTGTACTCCATATCTGCTTGAAGTGAACTTCTAGAAGGGGAGCTTTTCAATATTTTGGTAGTTTAAGTCAAACTACCAAAGTATTGCAGTCAAAAGGTACTTAGAGTATAACACAACAGTATTTACGATTTTCAGGTATTTAAAGAGTATTCTGCACGTATTTTTGATTGCTCCATTTTTTTAGGGTTGGAGTATATTTTGCATGAATTAAATAAATATTTCAAGAAATATATGTGAAGGTATTTTGTTCCTATTAATTTAGTATTTACATATTTCAAAACGCATGAAGGGAACTTCAAATGTAGTTTAAGTAAAGGTATTTTAAAATGACTTTTAGAAGTATATTTTAGTACTAAGTAAAAAAAAAAGTTTATATTTTTGGTCTATTTTTCGTGTACTTACAATAATAAACTGTATTTCAAATACACTCAAATTAGAATGTGGTATATTTCAAACCTATTAGTTTTCGCTAAGGGTCCTCCCCTCCTGTTTTTCTCCTCTTCCGTCCCTTTCCCTCCTCCTCCGTATCTTCCCCTCCTCGTCTTGCGTACCCTCCCCTCCTCCTCCCCCAAACCCTACCCTCCTCCCATTTTTTCCCTCTTAATTTATCTAAAAAATTGACGCCGCGTGACCTCAACACCTATTCGATTCCCCTCCAAATTTAGCAGCAATTCAAGTACTGTTGAGGTAACACGACGTCAATTTTCCGGCTAAATATAGCGG